GAGAGAGAGAGAGAGAGAGAGAGAGAGAGAGAGAGAGAGAGAGAGAGAGAGAGAGAGAGAGAGAGAAATGCCCACCTTCACGGCTGCCCGCTGCCGCTCCCCGCCACTGCTTCGAGCTGTTCTTTTCCAGCCGCTGCCGTTCGTCGTGTCTCTCCCTCCCTCCTTCGTCGCCCTTGCCGTGTCCCTCCCTCCCTGCCCCGCGGTGTTCCTCCCTTCCTCCTTCGTCCGCCGTGTGCCTCCCTCCCTGCCCCGCGGTGTTCCGCCCTTCCTCCTTCGTCCGCCGTGTCCCTCCCTCCCTCCTTCCCGCCGCTGCTCAAACACCTTCCTGCCGCTGCCCCAGCATCTTCCTGCCGCTGCTCTAGCATCTTCCCGCCGGGGCCGTCCCCGTTTTCGAAAACGTTTTTTGCAGGAAGGGCCTGCCGAATTCGAATTTTCGAAGTCGGCACGCCCCCCCAAAAACATTTCGCAGGCGGGGCGCGGCCAGTTTGCCGAGTGTCGCGGCCCAATGGTCATTTTTGCCGGGGTGGGGGCCCGCCGTCCTACCGAACCCCCCCCAAAAAAATAAATTTCAGCGACCCCTATTTTTTGACGTGTGTGGCACGGCGGTGCGCTGTGCGGTGCGCGGCGCGACGTGCGCAAACCGTGCGCAAACCGGCGCACCAACACGCGGCGCAACTATGTGCAATAGTCTTTCACTCCTACCTAATGAGGTGACGAGTCAGCAGTATGGGCAGTCAAGGGATTGGTGCAGATGGAAGAGAGGGGAATGCGATAACGTTTTAAGATAACTCAGGTGTACTGACAGTAAGCAGAAAATCACATAGTTCGTCTCAGTTTCACATGGCAATTTTTCATTCTGTAGGTGATCTGAGCTTCTCAGGCTAGTGCTATAGTCTTTCGCTCCTTTTAAGTCATCCAGAACGGTGTGCTCCATTCGGGGATATAGTAGATTTGTGTGTGAGAACTTTGTATGAATAGTCTTGTGAGTTGTTTTCCAAGACTGTCTGCCACTGGTATCGCCAGATTTCCATGTGCGAGTAGCTACCGGAGCAAGGAGTGGTGTTCACGGTTAGTTGTTCAGTAGAATTTTTTTCGGCGCGTCGTGCACCTTTATGGTTCTCTGCAGAGAGGTGATGGAAGGGTTTGTTTCTTACCTTCTGCTCTCTTATACATTCCACGGCGGAGTCGATTGTCGTGAGCAGGGACCATTTCTCGATTTATGCATGTCATTCCTGTGCAGGGGACGATGCTAAGTTTAACGGATGTCCCCAAGGAGACGGGTGGCTTTCTTATTTTCTGCTCCCTTGGTACTTTTTTTTTTATCTCTGCCTGCGCTGTACTAGCCAGCAGTGATTCTTAAAGGGAGCACAAATCACATTTGCGACGAACAGACAGCGGAGGAAAGCTGCAGATGCTACTCTGTTCACGTTCATGTCGCACA